AAAGTCCAATGTGATTCCTTGCATTTCAAACCAGGAAGATTGTTGGATGATCTTTTGGTAATTTGCGTGAAAATTACAGAGGAAATACTAAAATACAGGTTCTGTTTTGGTTGATGAGTTCACTAAACCGTTCGTCTATTGTAAATAACTAATGATTTCTGAGGGACATTTAGAGATGGGGGCACAAGTGCTCATTTCCTTTTCAGGAAGTCAGTGCCCTCTAGTGGCACAAAGTGGGATAAACATAGAAAGCCCAGAAACCTTACTTCTCAGGATACTCTGCATAAAACAAGCATCTAAATATTCTAGACTGCACATTTAGCTTTGTTGAAGCTTTGGAAGTGTTTTCAGAGTCTTTAAACAATATTTTAATGTTGATATCTAGGATATTCAATATTACTTAATTTTGATCTGCCAACACATCATTAAAACACCATCATCTCACCCTTCTCTACATCCCTCCCCTCAGTATTGCTGCTAAAGATGCTCTGGAGAGACATTTTGGAGAACAGAATAAACCTTCCTCTCAAGAGATCATGCGAATGGCTGAAGAACTAAATCTTGAGAAAGAAGTAGTAAGAGTTTGGTTTTGCAATCGAAGGCAGAGAGAAAAACGGGTGAAAACAAGTCTGAATCAGAGTTTATTTACTATTTCTAAGGAGCATCTTGAATGCAGATAAAATTTATTATTGTGTGATAGCCGATTTTTTTCTAGTTTTCATTCCTTTCTCTTCTCCAACAAAAATAGAAATTAGTTATTTGGTTGGTTTCAAAAATCATTTTATATCAATAACTTTTGCAGAAGCTTTCCTACTCTTTTAAAAAGAAGACAGTTTAAATATTGATGAATTATTTTCTTTAAAATAATTATTCTCAGACGCCAAACTGTACATTTTCAAACCAAAGATACCAATAGGAATAAAATGGTGATTCTCTCTCAATCTTTCTCTCCCTCTTGCTCTATCTACAGACACACACACGCATGCACAGTGTGCACGTGGGTCGTTTAGTTTAAGATTCCTTTTCCAAAGGCTGTTTATTAGCTTTTTAACATTTCAGTCATAATGCCAAATAAAGAATATCACAATAGAAGGAACAATTAGAAAATTGATTAACCAATGTCCTGCTTACTATCAGCTCTGATAGTTTGTTTGAACTTAATAGTTTTTGTTTGCACTTAAGAGCCAGAGGTGTCTTTGAATTTCATTAATGCATTTAGGAATAAATCTGAATCAGAAGCGACAATTTTTATCTTTTTATTCTTCTCAGAGATTTAGCTTTTTTGATGTTTATTTATAGAAAATATGCCTTATGGATTCTTGAACCCCAAACTGCTATCCTATAAGCTGCAACAGCGCAGGAATGATGTCTGGCTTGTTTGCTGTTGTTCCTCCAGCACCTGGGAAAGTGTTTGCTCCTAGCGGGGCATGCGATCTTTGTTAAATGAACAAAGGAGTGTGCTGTTAAAGACCGCTACAAACTTGAAGGGTCCCTAACTTAATAACATAATTTAAGTCTCACAACCCAGAAAATTACCTGGGATCCTATCAAAAAAGACTATCACTTTAGTTTAATTGGTTAGAGTGTGGTTTATTATTGATGAAAAAGTTTGACATATTGAGTATTTAAATTTGGGGAATTATATCCAAGGAACATATTTAATTTATAAGATTGCACTTCTTTGAAACTTGCAAGTAGAAGCAAACTATAAGGTAATAATCTAAGTGACCTTTTTGCGTTTAAAATATAAATCTGCTGGCAATGTTTATCTAACTTATTTTATATAACAAAAATGGAAACAATTAGACCAAATTTTATTACTGATTTAGAATGCTTACTAAATAAATTATACTGTCCAGTCTCATGGTTTTTATGATATTAATAAAGACCAAGCATTATACAGATCATAATCTCTACAGATCATAATGTGTTTCTGCACACATAATCACCATTAATTGGATGGCTAGAAACTTTGGTATATTTTTAACAAAAAGACATCTTTTTCAGTGGCTTAATCATCTATGCTTAAGTACACATCTAGCACCCAGAAGATGTTGAACAAAATATACATACAAAGGCTTTTATTATTCAAGAATAAATTCCAAATTATTCAGCCATATAGACATGTAAATTCCTTCTCTGTATAATTCACCTGCTTACCACACACACTAATTGGGAAGGGATTCTTTAGTTTGCAAAAGGCAGGGATAGGATGTATATATGTACATATATGCATACTAAATACATACACAAAAATGCATATATGCATGTCTGAAAGTTGCAAATAGAAACAAAATGTAATGCAAAATAAATCTAGAATAGTGACTTTTTTGCACTTTAAATATAAATCTGGGAATGTTTAATCTTTCTACAACAAAAATAAGCATGTATGTATGCTTCTATCATCATCACATATATATGATCATAATCTTATCAGACATTCACCCATAAGGTCATTCCAGTTTAGATACAACTAGCATTGGGAAGTAATGTTTCTCCCTAAAAGGAGTTATTTTGAATCAATATTTAATATTGAAATAGCAGATCTTTAGTTATTCACAAGTTAGTTGTAAATGCAACTATTGGTATTTACTATTCACTTATTTGTATTAATGAGTTTTTTGAGACTATTCTAACTACACTGAAATATTTTAATAGCTATAGATTGATCTTTTTATAAAAATAGAAAATAGTTATTTAGAATCCTAAACTGCAATTAAACAAAGAGCAAATGTAATTTCCTATGCAAATTTGGGAATATTATTTGAGAATAAATGGCAAAGCTGACTTTAGCCATAGTCTTTCCATCCTATGTTGTTGTGAACTTTTCAGTGGTAAATCTTCAGAAATTTAGTATAGTCCATTAAAACGAGAAGATCGATTTGTCAATTATACCAATTGGTACATTCAGTTCTATCTGGTAGAGGTGGTTGACACTCAATCATACATTTACCTTTCCATCTCTAATGGTGGAAAGATTGATCTAGTAAAAATATTTTCAGTGTTCAGGGATGGGAGCAGTGTCTGTGTGCACCTGCACTCAAGGTCTGGGGAGGATTTTGGGGGGGTGGAGTAAGGGGAGTATCCATTGTGTGGTGTTCCAACAATTAGTGCCTTAAATCAAACTTCACAGTCCCCAGGCTTCCTCTAAGGTGGATTCAATTCAATTGACTTTTAAAGGAACGGAGTGTAGAAGAATGGTCTTATGTCCCTTGATGGACTCAATTTCTACAGAGAGGAAATTGGAAAGTTGATCTGTTTTTCTGCTGCTCCAGAAACCTATTCTTGCAGAATAATGGCATCAAAGGAGACAGTCATCATAGGTCTCTGGACACACACACTCTGTTTTAACAAGGGAGTATCTAAAATAGGAGCACATATTTAAATTAGGCCCACAGGGATCAGGCTACAAGTGTGGCTACTGAGCTAGTAAGGAATGTACTTGCGGCTAAGGGGAGAGTGCAGTTTTCTTCTAAAGGCACTCAAATGCATAATAAAATATATATCACTGTGCAGGTTGAATAAAATAAAGCCCAAGGCTGCCAGATTCCATCTGGTCTTACAAGGTCACAATCTTGAGCCCCCTTCCAGTGGGCCTGCCATAGTCAGGTACTCAGAGCACAGAATGTAGTCTATATAACACAATCATCTGACAGACGGTCATTTTATGTTTTCTAAGACTAGCTGTTAATTTCATCAGTACTGACATTTTCATGCCACATTCCACTTTCTGATACCCTGAAATCTCCTCCACACGACTTTTACATCCAGTAATGGAATCTGACATTGCGCTGCATCCTTCTTGGTAACAGAGGTATTGCTATACTCTTTCACTCTCTACTGGTAACCTCTTTTTTGACTACAGTTGTTAAAGTAATCCTTTTGCCAAAAAAGAGAAGTTAGGGAAAGCAAGGCGAAAAAAAAAAAAAAGTACAGTTGACCATTGAACAACATGGGTTTAAACTTTGCAGGTCCACTGATATGCAGATTTTTTTCTTCAATAAATACAGTCCAGTACCATAAATGTATTTTCTCTTACGATTTTCTTAACATTTTCCTTTCTCTATCTTACTTTATTGTACAATACAATATATAATACAGATAACATACAAAATACGGTTTAATCGACTCTTTATGCTATTGGTAAGGCTTCTGGTCAACAGTAGGCTATGAGTAGGTAAATTTTTGGGAAGTCAAAAGTTATATGTGCATTTTTTACTGCATGGGGTCAGTGCCCCTAGCACCTACATTGTTGAAGGGTCAACTGTATTTTCTTTTTTTTTTAAAGATTTTATTTATTTATTTGAGAGAGAGAGAGTGAGAGAGAGAGCCCAAGAGGGGGTAGGGTCAGAGGGAGAAGCAGACCCCCTGCTGAGCAGGGAGCCCAACGTGGGACTCGATCCCAGGACTCCGGGATCATGACCTGAGCCGAAGGCAGTCGCTTAACCAACTGAGCCACCCAGGCACCCCAACTGTATTTTCATTAAACTCAATGTATAAGAATCTTTGTTTCCTAATCTTAAGGATTGAAAATAAGTTTTGTTTTTAGTAGAGGATAGTGTAACAGTATAACTTTATAGTGACTGTGAAAATTGCCACAGGAGCATTTTATAAATATAGCCTAATCAGAATGGCTCCACTCTCTCCTTTGGGTCCCAAAGCCTTCTGTAGTATCCATGTTTGACCGAAAATAAAGGAAATCACTAAGACTTAAATGTTTAAAAATACTATTTAAAAATGTTTATCCCCTGAAAGTTCTAGAAAAGGAATCATCAGATCGATTTCATGTGAAACCATCAATTCTTAGGCTTACTCCATTCACAAACATCAGTCCTGTATCAACTGCTAATTCTTAGAAGGCATAAGGAGCAGAGTTACCTAATTAACTTTCTTTCTAGGAAAATGATAAAAATCATTCTTTTGAAAAATTACCAGATATGCATAAAAATGTTAACTTTAGCAGAAGCCAAAAATAGAGTAAAAGATAAGGAAAGAGAGCATAACAGCAATAAATCTTTATTGGAATTCTTTTTAACAAAATAATTTTTAAAAACAAAAGCCCCCGCATGTAAACAAGAAAGTAAATAAAGTTAGTTGGCATCATTATGTACATCCAAAAATCAAAACAAGTTCTGGGTTAACATTCCATAATCCAGTAAAATGTTTTGACCCATCAATGGTCAGGGAAACTATTTAATACTATCAATAATGCAACCTGATCTTTGAACAGCATACAATAATTTATGAATTATAAACGATATAGTTGGAACTTTTCATTCTTCCCACCAATCCATATGCCACATGTAGGCTAGTCCTAAAATGGATTTACGTTGTCCATATTAGACCAAAATGTCCATCCTCGTAAATTGACCAGGTTACACCTATCTGATCTCCTCTATAGTTTTTTATGGTGGGATATACTAGAACCCATATATTACAACATAACTTTTTTAAACTAACCTAATCCTAAATTCTACCTCTAACTAATCTGTCATTTCATTTTTTCTCACTTTCTATACATACATTAAATACCATAGCAACTTCACCTTAAAAAATACTAATACATTAATACACATTTAGGCAGTAATTTCTGACAAAGTTGTAGTTTATTTACCAAGAAAAAATGCTATTTTTTTTTATTTATTTTTTTATTTTTTTTTATTATTATTATTTTTTTATTTTATTTTTTTTTATTATTTTTAAAATTTAGGTCAAGTATTGTCATAGTAGTGTTAAATTAAGAAGGATGGCTTCCATTTAGAGGGCTCAATATACACATTAATGAAGATCAAAATTAAACAGAGATTAAATTATATCTCATATGGGGAAGATTTTCTCAGTTCTTGGAAGAAAGACCAAACTAGTTTTATTACTATAAAATGTTATTAATTCAGTGTCTGTTTTTGCTAATTACATTCAATTCACTTTTATAAGCTTTACAAAAGAGAGCTGGGATAATTTTTCTAAGAGGCCTTAATTTTGGTTTAAAATGTAAGTCTTTTCTGTCAGTTAAAATAATTTAAAGATGTGCACAATATGTTTGTGCTGTTTAAGGCAGGTGCCAAGCACATTTTGAAAGGTAATAAACTTACCAACTAGAAATGTTCTCCCAAAGGAAAAAAAAGAAAAGCTCATGACAGTTTTTAAGACAGATGTTTAAATAGCACTCTTCTTTTGGATGATTTAAAAATAATTTGGCAGCTGAACTGCCTATGGTCATACCACATATCGCTAAAAAAGGACAAGCAACAGACACAGAATTAATGATATATTTTTAGTATTTTTACAAGTCTCTTTAGTTGGTGTCTAGCGGCATTTAACAAGATTTTTGTATTCAGTGTAAAAAGATGGAACAGAAATACTAAGTAATGAATATAATTTCTCTATGTCATGCAGGAAAGAAGTCAAACGTTTTACATATCATCACTCCTAAATAGTTGTAATTAAAATCCAAACTGTTCCCATTTTTGCATCCTTGTCATTCTTTGGTAAAAGATTCAAAATAGTCATGGGTTAGGAAACAACTGTTTGCTCATGGTCTTCATTTTTGTAAAAGGAAATCTGCACTTATACTAAATCTGGTTTATACTAAATAATTATAAGTAAGCAAAATATTATGGTTTTTCTGACTAATCTACTCCTAAAGCTTTGAGTTGCCGTTCAATCTCTTCATCGGAGATAGTAGCCTTTGAAGTAGAGGCAGATGGTAAGCTTCGGGCAGCTGATGGAGCTTTGGCCATCTATATTAAAGGAAAAGGAAAAAAAAATGCATTATCAAAATTTGGGCAAGGACACAAAGGATATGCTGCAAAGACGTTTTCCATTCAAATATAAAAAGATGTCTCTAAGGGCAAAGGCTAACTGAAAGTGACAAAAGCGGTAGAAACGATTCCAACAGAGGATAGAAGACATATTCATACCTTTCCAGAGATTTCAATTCCGATTTCATCAAGAACTTGATTCACAATATCTTGGCTTTCTTCTTCATCATCAGAGCCATCAAAGATATCATCAAGTGTGTCATTGACTTGGGGGGAAGGGGAGAAACAAAATTACAGTTACTATCAAACAGATTTCAAGTTAGATTTACATTTTTAGGAGGTGGTCCAACTATGTGTACATATTTGTAATATTACTCAAGGGCAAACTTAGTTGAACCAGCAAACTACAAAAGTCATTTTCAAATGTTAGTGAAGTTCACTTATACATTTTTGAGTTACTAAATCTGGAGTACTTTTCATTGCAACACAACTAATATAAATAATAATTATATAACAAGTCTATGATTTTTAAAAATGTGTCTAATAAACAAAAGAAATTCACAGCTAAAGGCTTAAAGTTTTTAAATATGATTCTACAAACTGTATTCACTGAGCTAGTTAGTAGCTGTTAAATCTGACCATGTAATAATATGCAAGAATCAAATATCCTGTAAATATTAGACAATGTACTCTTTTTATACCTATATTTTCAACTTAAATTTACATTCAACATGTAGGCAGAATATTCTAACAAAGTATAAGGTTGAGTGTTTTATTAAACTTGTCTACAGAATGACATCCAATTTAACCTTGCAAAGATTATTATTGCTATATCCCTCTCTTCCTTCCCTTCCCAAAGTATTTATGGAAAAGCTTCTGTATAGAAGGTATCACATTAGGATTATGTCTTATTTCTGAAACAAAGTGCCTAGCATGTCGTAAAAGTACAACTAATGGACAGAGAAAAATGATCTCAGGTAGTTTACATTTAAGTAGAAAAGAAATTAACAATCAGGTTGTAGTAAATAAGAAAGATAATAAAGGGAAGAGATTATATCCAACTGGGAAGAAGTACATGTGAGGTGGTCCTTAAAGGATGCATAGGATTTGACCAAACAGAAACAGAGGGAATAGAATGAGCAAAGACTTGGTGGAAGACAAAAGGAATACACTCAAGGTAGAGTAAGTTCTTCTGTTGTGTTATTATTTAAGGGGCATGAATGGAAAAGGTGTATCTATTATTCTGGGTCAAAGAGCTTATGTCTGATATGGGAAAAAAGATCTGGGGAATCACTTGGGGACGTCCCAGCCCTCTCCCTGTTTCACATGTACATCTTGTTTGTGTCCTTGATATAATTAATAAAGCTTGATACTGGTTAAGATCTCTGGTTGCTATGAGCTTGATTTGACAATTTGAGATAGAGGAGAAAGAATAGAGAGGTGTAATCAGGGATTAACAAAGAAGGATGCTTTCAGAAAAAGTGTAACAAAATTAACCATATTTTATATATATATGTATATATATAATTTATATATTTGTATATATATATGTATTTACATACATATGTGTGTATATAAAATGTGTGTGTGTGTGTATAAAATACAGATTTCTCAAAGATCCCGTTTACAAAACTGAACTTGTTGGTTCTGGAGCAGCACTATACAACATAAATTTCAACTGGAAAAAGATTATATCCATTTAAACATTGAGTTTATCTTTGGATAAAAATACTAATGTTAATGCACTTTACCAGGTCATAGAAGAAATGAGTAATCACCAACAATTACTATTCTTTCAGACCCATTTGCAAAGTAGTAAAATACCAATGAGAACTATGATAGATATGAGTTGTATGAGCCTATTGATTCTCTTCATTATAGCTTAATGGAAAAGTTAATTCCTCTAAGATCTGCTCACACCTGTGCCATCACTGGGAATCACATAAACATGTTAGATACTGGGATCATTATATAAATGACAATTCTCAGTCATTAAAAATTCACTAATGATGTTTCAAAAAAGTCATACTTTTCAAAATAAAGATTCACAGTCAAAGCTAAAGAGTTTTTGAACTATCAAAGATACACATACATTTTCATTAACTCCTAAAAGGAAAATAGAAAATAGATATTTTGAAATTGAATACTTAAGGTGGTGAGTTTCATATTCCTGATAATTTAATCAGATACTAGTTTATACACTAAATGCCATTAAATTAAAACGCTAGCAGCTAAGCAGAACTAAACTGGCGTATCTCTACATAGTTGTAAAACAATTAGAAAATACCTTTGCAAAATAATGATGTCAGTTTTTACATACCAGGTTAAGTAATGTTGACCAGGATGCTGTAAAAGGTCACTTATTTATTAGCAACCAAATAAAGATTGGAATAGTCTTTCTGGGAGGATTTTGGTATGAACCAAAAGCCTTACAAAAGTTAATACTCTAAAGAGATTTTTAAAATTTAGTCAAAAATAGTACAGAAACATTTATCAAAGGATTAGCAAATACACAACAAATTTTAAAACAATCTTACTGACCAATGTAAGAATGGTTCAATAAATTAAGATTGATGTTATTGAATACAGATGTTATGCAATATTAACGCTATTAAAAAAAAGACTTCGGAGAAGATTTAAGGTCATGAGTACATGTGTATATCATACTATGATGTTTTCTAAAAGCAGGATAAGGTTCAAAACTGCACATGTAATATGATTTAACTTCTATAAGATATGGGAAAATATAGGAAAGAAGCATATAACATTATCAGTAACTATATCTGGGTGATGTGATAACAGATTTTTTAAATGAACTTTGTTTCTTTGTGTTCTCCATATTTCCTCTACAAAATGCAATTAGTTTATAGTCAAAAAGAAGAAAACTAAATATTAAATAACTTAGGGAAGAAGAAGGAAAAAATAAGAACAAAAGAGCTTCCCATTATCTCTACCTCTAATAAAAATAGAGATCTTCTCTAGTATGAAAAGAATCAACACAACTCTTAAACTACCAAATTCATACCAGGAAGAGTTCTTTTATTCACAAGTTGGTTTTGGTCCCCTCATCAATTAAGCAAAACCACTGGGGCCAATATGGCATAAAAATATGCCATATCATATTTTATATTTTTTCTTCCAGTAAAGTTTGATAGGATTTGAGCCTTATACTTTGCCAATTTAACAATACACTAGAGTTATAATACAGACATCTATTCAGAAGGGTGCTGTACTTGCTTTTTTCAACATTTGTGCTTTTATGGATTAGAATATGAGGTTGCTAGTAAATAAACGTGGCTGATTCAAAGATAAAAAAACTGTAAATTTCATTACAAGTTATTAAACTTACTCATTTCTTCAGTCATTTCCATTTTCATGTTTTCCTTCTGGAAATTCTGCATTGTTTGTAATGTCTTTTGTGGATCCATCTTCTTGTTAACTGCTTGCATTGTCTTTAAATATATGAAAAGATTCATGTTGGCTACATAAATGTGACATTTTACTATGAATTAAGTCCAAAGAGAACATATCAAATTAGATACAGGCTTTCTAAAGATATACATACTGTCATAATCTAACATAAGACTGTTAAGTAGTCTAGAAAAAAATGAAATACTCACTTGGAAACCATCTGCTTAACATTTATATAATAAAGACCAGGGTGAAAAAACTCATATGAACAGTAGGCAAAAAAAAAATAAAAAACATTGTCCGCAAAAAATCCATTTCAAATGGGAAAACTACATTTGCCTACTATGTGGCAAGTAGGTAATGTCTAAATTGAAAAGAATTACAATTTAAATTTTATAAAATTTTTCATTAAGCTTTTGATGTCTAAATTAAAAAGGAAAATACACAGCATACACACTTAATCCATTCACATATTTTAAACCACGGTTTAAAGAAATGAACAGAACACCGAGTTTTGTAAAAATATGTGAAAAGAACTCTTACATTTTATATTCACAAGTTATTTCATTAAAAGAGATTAATGCTATCTAGCATGGCCAAAATATTTTATACATATTATATATAAAATTTATGTATTATATACAGTAGTTCAGACACTATACAATATGAAACACATCAGTTTCAAAGATACCAAGCAGTCTTTTCGCAATCTGTACACAATGCTACAGCCAAGGTAACCTTTAAGTATAACACTGGATTTCCCCCATTCCCCTCCAGCCCACACATACCTTTGAAGTGACTTTCCATTGTTCTTAGTATTAAAAGCCAAAATCCATAATTCACTATGAGACCAAACACCACTGAACTCTGCCTAACAAGCTAGTCTTTTTTTTTTTTTTAAAGATTTTATTTATTTATTTGAGACAGAATGAGAGAGAGAGAGAGCACGTGAGAGGGGGGAGGGTCAGAGGGAGAAGCAGACTCCCTGCTGAGCAGGGAGCCCGATATGGGACTCGATCCCGGGACTCCAGGATCATGACCTGAGCCGAAGGCAGTCGCTTAACCAACTGAGCCACCCAGGCGCCCACTAACAAGCTAGTCTTATGGTGCACCATTGCCCTCCAGTCACACTGATCTTTCACTTCCTTAAATGTGCCATACTTTCTCTTGCCACAGGACCTTTGCATACGCTGTCTCACACCTGGAATGCTCCTCACCATTTGTTTTCATTATCAACACTTCAGATTTCACCACTTTCCTAGGGAAGTCGTCCCTGACACCCCTGATTAGAATAGATATCCTTGTTAAATCCTACTCACTACAGATGAAATTCCCTATTTATTGCTGTAAATTATATTACTTCACTTGCAACTTACAGTATTGTAGCAACTAATACTAATAACAATGGTGATAATGATAATAATAAAGCAGTAAAAGCCTATATAGTCTTAACTATGTGCCAGACACTGTTCTAAGCACTTTACATATAATAAATTTAGAGTTAAAAGACATTTATTTAAGCCTGACAAATCTTACATGCTAGGTGCCACCATTTTCCCTCTATTAAAAATGGAGAATGAAGGCACAGAAGGGCAAAATAACTTGCTGAAAGTCACAAAGCTAATGAACAGAAGTGAGATTTAAATTCAAGTAATCTGGTCCAGAATGTATATTCCTAATCACCGCACTAAACTCTCTCTCAAATGGGCTCTTTTTAAGCATGTATGGGGGCACCTGGGTGGTTCAGTTGGTTAAGCGTCCAACTCTTGATTTCAAGTCAGGTCATGATGTCATCAGGGTCCTGGGATTGAGCCCTGAGTTGGGCTCCGAGCTCAGCATGGAGTCTCTTTGTCCTTCTCCCTCTACTCCTCTTCCCACTCTCTCTCTCAAATAAATAAATAAAATCTGAAATAGACTGTACAGTTTAAACCCTTGCCTGGTTTTGCTTTCCACTTCATCCCCATCATTTGTTATACTTCCTACCTATAGGGTCTAAACAAATATTTGCTGAATTAATACATTTCTAAAAAGATTAAGTGAAAATTCCAGTACAGATATCTCTATATGGCAGGACCATATTCGGTACCTTTTCCTAGCCTACCACCTGCAAAAAAAAAATTGCAAAATAAGTGGTTTTCCCTTTAACATTATTGAAAGGTTACCCATCTCAAGTGTGTGATCATCACATATGATCTTTTCCTAAATTAGATGTTTAGTTCTGTCCGTTTATGAAAGAAAAAAGAAAAACAAAAGTTTTTGTCCTTAACTATGTATTTTTCACTGTAAAAGGACAAAGATCCATCAAGAATAAGTTACCTAACAGAACAAAACTAATATTGAAACTTCCTCTATTTTTTTTTGAGACTTCCTCTATTTTTTTAAAGAACATATTGTGTCACTGCACTTACTGCAGCTAAGATGGATAAATTCTATTTTCATGTGTTCTGTAATCTAAAACACAATTATAGTTGCTCCTCATTATTTCCAGATTCTGTATTTGTGGATCTGCCTACTCACTAAAATGTATTTGTAAACCTCAAACCAATACTCATGGAGCTTTTGTGTTCCTCTGTGGACACACAGAGAACAGCAAAAAAATGTGAGTTGCTCAACATGCTTGTTTCCAGCTGAGGTCAAACAAGGTGACACTCTGCCTTCCTGTCTCAACTCTCAAACCGTAAACAAGTGTCCTTATTTGTGGTCTACTTAGTGCCATATTTTTGTACATTTTATTGGTGATTTTGCCATTATTTAAATGGCCCCAACCAAAGTACGAAGTGCACAAAACTATGTGTCCATGGAGAAAATACATGGTAGCTTTGATTAGGCATGACTTCAATGTTAATGAATCAACATTTATTAACTATGGTGTCTTTCAACAGAAACACATAAACATTAGGTATAAGCTGGTTGACAAAAACATTGTGACCAAAGGCTAACCCTATATTTCCCATAAGAGAAATGGTTCGATATTCACTAACTGAGTATTCCCAACTTAACAGAACATTAACTACTTCAAATAATGAGAATCAACTGTATATACCATTTTTTAAATATGAACCTCCTACTTTCTCTCCTCTGTGGCTTTCTTTTATTTTGGTCTTCATATTCATATTCCTCCTTCCTTATATTTAACACCTAATGGTATTTTTAAGACCTAGGTCTTCTGCAAAGTCTTTCAGATCATTCAATTCAAAGATCTGTGCAGTTCACTGAAACTTAGCACAAACTGACGTATGTAGTCGGTAGTTTCCTTGTCAGATATACCTTAACCTCCCTGCTCTCTACCCCCACCCCATCCCCAATTGAACTATAAAATCTGTGAGAGCAGGTCCTTCATCTTAGATGTCTTCTTACTCCTTATAGTACTTCACATACATCAAGGGACTCATTATTTATTAAAAAATCAAAAAGCTCAGGGGCGCCTGGGTGGCTCAGTCGGTTAAGTGTCAACTCTTGATTTCAGCTCAGGTCATGATCTCAGGGTCATGAGGTTGAGCCCCACTTTGGGCTCCATGCTAAGTGTGGAGCCTGCTTAAGATTCTCTCTCTCCCTCTCCCCTCCACACCACCCCTAAGCTTGCTCACTCTAAAATAAGCTCACGTCCTATAAACTCTATAGTAAAAACATTTTTTTTTATACAAAGACCGTAAGTTAAACATAAGTTCCTGGTAAAATTAACTGATAAATCCTTCTGACAGAAATCATGTGTCCTTCTGACACATACATGAAAATGAATCAAGAGCAAATTATTACTCAGAAGTAATTAAAACTTATAGCTTAATGAAATAAGACCAAAAATCTTCTGACAATTTAAGGGAAAAAAGCAAACAACACTTTTAAGTCAATTTAAAAAATTTAGAAGCTACACATGACCTTGGAAAAAATCAAAATATCTGAAACAAGAAATTTTATAGTAAATCAATAAAGAATCTACATACATCCAAAACTGTTATAATATTGTAAAGTAACTATACTTCAATTAAAAAATCTAGAAGTAGTTATCTGGATTATCTAGTATTATTAATGCCTTTTAGTAAATATTACACAGATTCTGTGCCAAATATACATCAGGAGCTACTTTTAAATCTGATTTGAATACTGACACTTATATGTCTTAGATAAAACAATAAATGTATGGATATAATGGTTCCCACTTACTTTTGCTGTAGTAGACATTGCTCCCGCCATCTTCATCTGGGAATTCATCACTTTTGTTTGTGTCGACATAGAAGTGACTTTTGAACTTACAGCAAAAGTTCTTGTTTTCTGTTTCCGTAGATGTACAAGCTGTTTGGCTAAAACTCTGCAAGCTTCTTTATTACCAATCTTAGCCATTTTCTTAATTTCTAATTCCTAAGAAAGGAAATAAAAAGAGGGGAATAAAATCACTGAGAGGTAGTCCCTAATGATTAACTTCAGAAAAAAAAAAAAATCAAACACACATCATATACCCTTTTCTCCCTGATCATAAAGAGAGGAAGAGGCAGGTGGGCGCCTGGGTGGCTCAGTTGGTTAAGCGACTGCCTTTGGCTCAGGTCATAATCCTGGAGTCCTGGGATCGAGTCCCGCATCGGGCTCCCTGCTCAGCGGGGAGTCTGCTTCTCCCTCTGACCCTCCTCCCTCTCATGCTCTCTGTCTCTCATTCTCTCTCTTGCAAATAAATAAAATCTTAAAAAAAATTAAAAAATAAAAAAAAAAAAAGAGAGGAAGAGGCAGTCATAAAGTCACAAAAAAAGTTAATTTGAGAGAGCAATTTATTCCACAGGTTTACACGGGAAAGACAGAATTCATACCTTCATCCACAAATACAAAGCAAATCTATAAAATAGTATTTACAAAGAGCCCAAAAGAAAATGAAAAAGCTCAACCTAAAAGTCAGTAGGAAAAAGGGAAAAAAAACAAAACAAAAACAAAGAGTTGGTGGGACAGAGCAAAAAGAGCACATTGGTAGATTTAAAGCGTATATGACAGACAATTACATTAAGTGAGAAGGTTCACCTAACACCTCAGTAAAAGACATAAACACTACTATATGCTATATCAAGAAACCAACTTTAATTACAAAAACAAAGCTAAGTAAAATAATGGAAAACGTATTCCATATAATTACTTACTAAAATCTGAAAATCTGGAGTGTGTACATTAACATCAGATAAAATAAACAGACAAGGAATACTACCAGAAATAAAAAGGGGCATTTCATAATGACAAAGGAATCAATATATAAAGATGTTAAAATAATCCTATACGTGCATGCACCTAAGAACAGAGCTTCAAAATATGTGAAGCACAAGTGACAGACCTGAAAGGAGAAACACACAATCAGCATGAGGGATATCAACCACTCCTCTCTGGATTACATTGCTGTAATTGTTAGAAGCAGATAATCTGCAATGATACAGATTTATAAAAAATACTATCATCAACTTGACCTAACCAACATTTATAAAAACGCCATCACCAACAGCAGAATCTTGTTTTTTATAGATATACACTAAAAAAGAAGAGAATCACCAAAATATATCATATTTTGCTCAGAAAACACAACTCAATATAACTGAAGAGGACTGAAATCATACAAAGTATGTTCTCTAATAGCAATGAAATTAAACTAGAAATCAGTAAGGAAGGAAAAGGAAGGTATATCATAAATATGCAGAAATTAAACATGGTTCTAAATAAGTCATGGGTTGGAAAAATTTCAGGAGAAATAATATTTTGAACTTAATAAAATGAAAATGCAACATATCAAAATGTGTGGGCTACAGTTAAAACAGTTCTTAGAGGGAAATTTATAGTATTAAAACTTATATTAGAAAAAATAAATATTTCACAAGCTTCAAAATTGAGAAAGTAGAAAAGAGTAAGTAAAACAGTAAATACAAGAAAAAATATTAAACAATAAAAGAAATCTATGTAGTAGCAAAGAAAAAATATCGAAAATTAATGAAATCCAAAGCCTTTTTTCATAAGAGGTGGATCAAATTGACAGGCCATTAGCCAGATAGATGAAGGGGAAAAAAAAAAAATGAGACAAAGAGAACACACAAATTACAAAGATTAGGAATGCAAAGGAGGGATCACTTCATATTCTAAAGATGTTAAAGGATAATATGGGAATATTATGAATAATAGGTCATTACATTTTTTTTTTAGAAATGTCCTTTTCCTTATTTTTTTTTTTAATTTTATTATGTTATGTTAGTCACCATACAATACATCATTAGTTTTTGATGTGGTGATCCACGATCCATTGTTTTCGTATAACACCCAGTGCTCCATGCAGTACGTGCCCTCCGTAATACCCATCACCGGGCTAACCCATCCCCCCTCCCTTCTAGAACCCTCAGTTTGTTTCTCAGAGTCCATAGTCTCATGGTTCATCTCTCCCTCCAATTCCCCCTCCCCATTTTTCCCTTCCTTGTCCTAATGTCCTCCATGCTATTCCTTATGTTCCACAAATAAGTGAAACCATATGATAATTGACTTTCTCTGCTTGACTTATTTCACTTAGCATAATCTCCTCCAGTCCCAATCCATGTTGATGTAAAAGTTGGGTATTCATCCTTTCTGATGGCTGAGTAATATTCCATTGTATATATGGACCACATCTTCTTTATCCATTCATCTATTGAAGGGCATCTCGGCTCTTTCCACAGTTTGGCTATTGCGGTTATTACATTTTAAAATTTAGTAGACATGGACGAATCACTTGACAGATGTTAACTACCAAGGCTCATTTAAAAAGACATATCCTGATCCATTCTGTATCTGTTTTTTTTCTAAAAATTGAATTTGTAGTTTAAAAACATATCCACAAAGAAAAGCTCCTTCTCAATGGCTTTACTAATGAATTCTATCAAACATTTAAGGAAGAAATACACAAACTCTTCCAGTAAAGGAAGAGTAAGAGAAACCAACTCATGCTTTAAAGTCAGCATCACTCGGATGTCAAAACCAAATAGACACTGGACAAAAAGATAACTACAGATCACTATCTTTCACAAACACGGATGCAAATATTCTTAACAGAATTTCAGCATACTGAAAAAAATATTTCAAAGAAAAAAACACATCATTACCAATGGAACTTATCCCAGGAGCAAAAGCTTGATTCAACTTTAGTAAATCAATAAATGTAATTCACTACATTAACAGACTAAAGAAGAAAAACTACATGATCATCATCTCAACAGATGCAAAAGTGAACCTCTACCCTCACCTGATAACACAATAAAATTTAATTCAATATGGTTCACAGTCCTAAATGTAAGAACTAAAACTAAGATTCTTTTTTGCACTTGATTAAAATAAAAAATTTTCTGTTCCACAAAGGATACTATCAGGAAAATAAAAGACAAGACCAATAACTGGAGAAAATATTTGCAAAACATATATTTAATAATGTACTTGTATTTGAAATATATAAAAAACATACAAATAAATAAAACATTGACAAAAATGGGCAAAAAGACATGTAAACAGCAAACAGGCACATGAAAAGATGCTGAACATCATTGGCAATTAGCAAAATATAATTTAAAATGACAATCCACTATACACCTCCAGAATGACTAAAAGTAAAAAGACTGTCAACTCCAACTATTGGCCAGGATATGGAACAACTTTACTTTCAAGTATAGCTGGTGGAACAGAAAACATTATAGCCAATTTGCAAAACTGTCTAGCAGTTTCTTACACAGTTAAACATACATTTACCCTATGATCCAGCAATCCCACTCCTAGGAATATACTCAAGAGAAATGAAAATATGTTCACACAAAGACTTCAATTGCATCTTTATAGCAACTTTATTCAAAATAGCCCAAACCTGGAAATAACCTAAATGTCCACTAGCTGGTGAACAGATAAATAAACTGTGAAACATCCAAACAATGAAGTAAATTTAAAAAATTAATACTGATTATATAACACTGATTAATCTCAAAATAATTATGATGAGTGAAGGAAGCCATATTTAAAAAAAAAGTTCATATTATATGATTCCATTTATATAAAGTCTTGAAAATGTAAACTAATCTACAGTGACAAATCAGTGTTCGCCAGGGAGGAGGGAGTCAGGGAAAGATAGGTGAAAGACATTACACAGGGAATAGGAAACTTTTCAGGATGATGGATATGTCCATTACCCTAATGGAAGTAAGGTTTCATGAGTTTATGCATATGCCAAAATATATCAAATTGTATGCTTTAAATATGTAGTTTATTACATGTTAGTAATATCTCAATCATGCTGTTCATTTAAAAGATTTTAAGCAACATACATTTAAAAACATAACAAAAATATTTAAAGATGGGGAAGATAATCTATTTTTTAAAAAGTACATTCATTATCACAGATACAATGATCACTAAAGTATCAAGTAAGATACCAATGAGTTAACATAATTATTTCTTGTAACCCTTTCTTATTATTCAGGACTATTTTATTTTTGTTGTTAACTGAGAATGAAGTAGCTGTGTTTTGAGTAATATTTCCTCCCACGCATTCATGACTTCTACAAACTGAAGAATAATTTGATTTTATAATCGGCAGAATACACAGAATCCTGATAAAAGTCAGAATGACACAATAAACAAAGGTAAGCAGAAAATGCAGGAAGACGTTAAATGCCATTTCTTAGTAAATCACTTACCACCTGCCATGTGTCTTATTCTTAGTTAGCAAATTATTCCAACACTAATTTCCAAATTTGTTTGAAAAGTTAAACTGAAATTTAATGTTCTACTTACCAGCTGTTTTTCTTGTTTCTCTAAAGCTGCTCGGTCTCTGATTATAGCTCTCTGTGTACCTCGTAATTCTCGATTCTGTTCCTTTATTACATCTAAGAGAACCACAAAAGAAACCTAAATGTATGAATTCCAAAATTTTTTTCAATACCATTTGAAATATTAGACTTGGAGACCTTAATCAAAAAAAAAGAAACCTTGATTTACTAGATGTTAAAATTTTTTCATTCAATATACTAAAAAATTAGTCAAATATTAATACTTGGATTATAAATATTAATTATATAAAGAATTACAAGATAAGTGCAGACAGGCTATAGTTGGAGGTTTAACCAAAAGTATATATAAATCACAATAAAATATTCCCTTAGAGAACTGATGGTATGCAATGTTTTATGTGGCACATATATATGTGTGTCTCTCTCTCTCTCTCACACACACACACACACACACTTTTCATCTCTTCTTACTCCAGTATTATATGAAATTCCAGGAAGGAAGACAGATCATGTGTTTATTAAATCCTTTTTTCTACACTAAGTCATTATGACAGAGTGAAGCAGCAGACCTTCCAATGAGGCAGACCTGGATTTGAATCCTCCCTCTGCTACTGGATCATTATTTGATGATATCTTGGCAAAATTAGTTAATATTCTAAACTTCAGGTTTCTTATTCATATGATAAGGATAGTTGTTAAGGTGTAAATAACATACATAATTGCCCTGATATACTATTAAATTCCCAATCAATCTTAATGTTTTTCTAACTGAATTCATTTGGATTCATTAGTCCCATCTTTTGAAGAATTAAAGTATTAGTCTAGGCCTGATGGACCATAATTTGGGTTAGTTGTTACTAAACAGTAATTTCTTCAAAAATCATAGACATTGATGGTAATTCTTGCCAAAACTGGTCTCTCATTATCAGGAATCTTGCTAAGTGCTGTACATATATTATACAATATTCACAATAATGCTATGGAGTTGATTTTTCTATTATTTTATATTTAAAGAAAACTGAGTGTTAGGAAGTTTAAATAACTTGCCCAAGGTCACAAGGTAGTAAGCAGTAATGCCAGATTTGGATCCAAGTGTTCTGTCTCCTGAATCAGTAATCTTAATCACTTCATTAGAGTACCTTTCTAGTCAAGAGGTAGATTTAAAAACAACAGTAACAACAACAACAGAAAGAATAGTCTCTTCATCAAATGGCACTTGGGACAACAGGATTGTCCACATGAAAAAGAATGAAATTGGACCCCTACATCACAGTGTATATAAAAATTAACTAGGGGTGCTTGGGTGGCTCAGTCGGTTAGGGTCCAACTCTTAATTTCAGCTCAGGTCATGATCTCGGGGTCATGAGATCAAGCCCGCATCAGACTCCATGCTCAGAGTAGAAGTCAGCTTGAGAGTCTCTCCCTCTCTTTCTGCCCCTCCCGCTGCCTGCATGGCCATGTGCTCTAAACAAACAAACAAATAAGATCTTTTTAAAAAAAATTAACTAAAAAAAGATTAATGACCCAAATATAAAAACTGAAATCATACAATTCTTAAAAGAATACATAGGAGTAAATTCGCAAGATCTGGGATTTGGCAATAGATTCTTAGATATGACTCTAAAAGCATGAGCAACAAAAGAAAAAGTAGACAAACTGGACTTCGTGAAACTTAAAGGCTTTGCACCAAAGGACATTATTAAGTGGAAAGATATTCCACAAAAAGGGAGAAAATATATACAAACTATATATATGTTAAGAGTCTAGTATCTAGAATATATAAAAAGCTCTTAAAACTCAAAAACAAGACAATCTAATTAAAAATGGTTGAAGGACCTGAACAGACACTTATCCAAAGAAGATACAGAAATGGCCAATAAACACAAAAAGAAGATGCTCAACATCATTAGTCATAAGGAAAATGAGAGCTACTTCACACCCACCAGAATGGCTATAATCAAAAATGAAAATGGAAAATAACAAGTATTAATAAGGATGTGAAGACTGGTACCCTTTGTACTGCTGACAGGAATGTAAATTGTTCCACATGCTATGGATAACAATTTGGTGGTTCCTCAAAAAGATAAACATAAAATTACCATATGACACAGCAATTCTACTTCTAGGTATAAGAGAACTAGAGTATAAAAAGAAATGAAGTTCAGACACTGTGGATAACAATTTGGTGGTTCCTCAAAAAGATAAACATAAAATTATCATATGACACAGCTATTCTACTTCTAGGTATAAGTGAACTGGAGTATAAAAAGAAATGAAGTACTAATACATACTACAACATGAATAAACCTCAAACATATTATACTAAGTGAAAGAAGCCAGATATTAATGGTCACATTTTATGATTATGTTCATATGAAATATCAGAATAGATAAATTCATAAAGACAGAAAGCAGACTGGTAGTTGCCAGGGGTTGGGGAGAGAGGAGAATGCTGAGTCACTGTTTCACTTGTACAGGATTTTATTGTGAGATGATGATAATGTTTTAGAACTAGAGGTGGTGGTTATACACCATTGTGAAAGTACTAAATGCCACTGAACTGTTGTTCACTTTAAAATGGTTAATGTTATGTGAATTTCACCTCAAATAAAACAACAGAGCCAACAACACCCATTATCCTTTTACTGATGGAACATCACAACTTATGTTCTACACATTCCTGTGTGTAACATATAACTTTACTCAGAATAAAGATAACTAATTATATTGAGGAATAGGCAGCATACTAAGAGGTTCACAACAACCACAAACATAAGTACTATTATCTCACTTATTTCAGGGAATTTGACATTCGGTAAGGTAATCTGCCCAAGGAAGAAAGAGTGCTAGGATTCATATACAGGCAGTCTGATTCCAGGGCCTCTGATTTTAACTACCATATTATGCTATGAAGGCTTTCAGGCAAACAAGAAATAAAGGTATCGGAGACATAATCCTTATCAATATAGATACATATCAGTAAAAATATACAAGATTTAAAACAGAATGAAAAACATTTCAAGTCATTATATAAAATATAACTAATCAACTACAATGACTTTCTGAATAAAAGTTAAGATGCCAGAGCTTCTCTTTACAAGCCATCTATTTTCCCTCTCTTGCATACTGTGTTTCTCAATGAAGTTATATTGGTGGACAGCTCATGCTCAGGATTTTCTAGGAATGTATTCTACAGGTTCCTTAAATATAGAAATAGGAAACCATATCATATATATAAGAGAAATGGGGGGGGCTCGACCCCAGAACATTGAGCCAAAATCAAGAGTCAGACGCTTAACTGACCGAGCCACCCAAGCATCCTTTATTTCCCAAATTTATTAAGCCAAGGGTCCCTTCTAAGAAATCTCTATTAATATTTTTTAGATGCTAATGTTCCATGGAGCACCAGTTGGCATTCTATTGTCACAATTTATTAGTTTCCTAGGGCTGCTATAACAAATACCATAGACCGGGTAGTTTAAACAATAGAAACTAATTTTCTTACAGATCTGGAATCTGAATATTTTTTAGATGCTAATGCTCCATGGAGCACTGGTTGGCATTCTATTGTCACAATTTATTAGTTTCCTAGGGCTGCTATAACAAATACCATAGACTGGGTAGTTTAAACAATAGAAACTAATTTTCTCACAGATCTGGAGCCTGAAAGTCCAAGATCAAGGTGTTGGCAGGTTTGATTTTTCCTGAAGCCTCTCTCCTTAGCCTGCAGATGGCTGCCTTCTTGCTATGTCCTCATACAGTCTTTTCTCTTAGTGTGCCCATCCCTGGTGCCTCTTCCTCTTTTATAAGGTCACCCTACTATTGGATTAGGGCTATGCCCTCATAACCTCATTTAACCTCAGTTACCCTTTACATACCCTATCTCCAAATATAGTCACATTAGAGGTGAGGACTTTAACACATGAATTTTATGGGCATACAATTCAGTCCACAGTGCACAATATCTTTCCTCTGACATCTGTAGACACTAAACAGCAAAGCTCTCGTTTCCCTAGATTTAAAAGCAGTCATCAGTCTTTTCATCCTCAACACTCCCAATTTTCTTCTTTTGAACTTAGCATGCTATCTTGCCAAAACCAATGAATTGGTATAAAAACACTGACCACTTACCCTACTGTTTCAATGATGAGGGTCTTCTAAAGCCTTCAGAGTACGGAAGCGAAAAAGAAGCCACCATATTGACAAGTTAAATTGTGGTCAGATAACCGATACAGATGCAAAGCAATTGCTGAAAGCCTTGACTGCTAAGATCTAGAATTCTATCAATATATACTTATTCATTATGAGAATAGTATAATATGTAATAAAAAGTATGTATTTGATCCTTGTCTTTAGTTCGTGGCACAGAGCTCCTAAAACCCTTGGAATTTCCTTAGTGGTAGGAACATCTTTTAGCTCAAGAAGGTGGACCCCTAGATAGTTTCTGGAGGGCGCTGGTTACCAGAAAGACAAAATGCTTGAATAGAGGGTAGGATGTTCAGCCCCAACCCCCTGATCTCAGGAGAAGGGAGTGGAACCGAAGACTGATAAAAACTCCTGAATAAAGAAGAGATTAGGAGAACTTCGCGGATGGTGAACACACTGATGTGCTGGGAGGGCAGCGTGCCTGAAAAGGGCATGAAAGCTCTGGGCCACTTACAGCCCCCACAACTTTGCTTCCATTTGGCTATTCCTGAGTAAAGCACTTTCCTGAGTTCTAAGGGTTGTTCTAGCAAATTATCAAACTGTGGAGGAAGTTATGGGGACTCTAGAATTCACAGCTGGTTAGTCAGAAGTACTGGTGGCCAACTGGGCATCTAGGATGAGGACAGTCTTCTAGGACTGAGCCCTGCACCTGTGCTAACTCCACGTAGTGTTAGGACTGATTGACGTTTTGGACACAGCAGTTGATGTCACAGAATCAGAGAGCAGAAAATAGATATAGCCATCTTTGTTGGGAAAACACATATTATGACATGAAATTTTACCAGAACATGTACCTTAATCAAAATAGTTTTATTTCCCTTTTCTTAATTTTATGTAACTGTATACCATAACTATCACTGTATATTAGAGAAAGAAAAAGGAAATTAACT